TCCAGGGGGGCGCTAGACTGCTTCAAGCCCAGGAGCCCGCCCGGGGTCGGGGAGCTCTGGCGACTAGAATCCACACGCGGCCGAAGTTGGTTTTGATTTCGTTAAGCAGGGAGAGGGATGGCGTCTCCCCTCAACGAAATGAAGCCGCTGAGGGCCTTGCCGGGGAGGGGTCGAAATTGTCCAAATTTGACCAATCTGGGGCGTGTCCGTCTGTCATTTTGGAGACACTTCGAGACGGCTCCAAACTTCCGCCAGAACAGAGAGAAAACCAGAACGGGCGAGGGACTCCATCGGGGCCGCGGGCCCCTCTGGAGTCGCCCCGACACATTTGCGGAAGCCCGGTCGAGGCTCATTGGTGAGCCTCCTCCAAGCTCCTCGGAAAGCCTGGGAGGCTGTGCGCAGTTTTCGTTATGCAGGGCCAGAATTTTAAACGCCGGGCAAGGGTACCCTTGCCCGGCGTTTAAGCTTCTAGCGCGACTAGAAACCGCGCACGCGTTCGCGAGTTTGTTTGTTTTCCCGTTTTTTAAGTTTTTTAATTTGTTAACATTTTTGGAATTTCTAGAGCCGTAGAGGCTCTAAGTGGAGACGATTCGATCTTCACAAACTTTAAGCACATCGCTGCAAAAATTGGCAAAAATGTAAAGTTTTCGAAAGAGGCCAGCCACCCCAGCCACCAAGGAAAAAAAAAGGTGGCGAAAGGAATCCCCACTGATGTGACTTTTTCGCCGTGCAGCCACCCCCAGCCAAAAAAAAAAGAAAAAGGCCGCCTCTTTTTTTTTGGCTGGGGGTGGCTGCACGGCGAAAAAAATCGCATCAGTTGGGACTGCTTTCGCCACCTTTTTTTTTTGGAGTAGGTGGCGAGAAAAATGCAAAGCCATCAAATTTGTCACTTTTTTTTTCTTAATCAGCACTGGCAAAAATTCCCCAGGGTGCTGATTTCCAGTTCAGAAGATGCCAAAAAGTTGCTAAGTTGTTGCTTTTTTTTTCTAATCCGCACTGGTAAAAAATCCGCAGGGTGCTGGTTTCAAGTTGGAAAGTTATCAAAAAGCTGCGAGGTTGCTGCTCTTTTTTCTAATCAGCACCGGCAACAAGTCCCAGGCTGCTGCTTTCAAGTTACAAAGTCGCCAGAAGCTGAATAGGGTTGCCCTTGCTCCTTATCTCTGTTCGATGTTGATCCGAGCCCTCCCAAACCAGACCCAAACCAAACTCGGACCAAACCCAAACCAAACTCAAACTCAAACTCAAACTCAAACCAATCCAACCAAACCCAAACCAAACACAAACCAAACTGAAAGAAACACAAGCCAAACTGAAAGAAACACAAACCAAACCGAAAGAAACACAAACACAAACCAAACCCAAACCCAAACCAGACCCAAACCCAAACCCAAACCCAAGCCCAAACAAGTCCCAGGCTGCTGCTTTCAAGTTACAAAGTCGCCAAAAGCTGAATAGGGTTGCCCTTGCTCCTT